GCTCCCTTACCCAGTACCCTTACCCAGTACGTACAATCTTTGTCATTGTTCATTAACTTATGCCTAAGCTGGGGGGGGGTTGGCTCCTGGGCATTGCCAGGCACAGGCACAGAAACAGCAGTTCGCTTTCCCTACATAGCAGTTCTCGCCCTTTGATGCCTACGCCGCGCTTCTGCAGCGTCGATCTGAACAGCTGACGCCCGCCTCAACGACAACTGAAACTTACAGGGCCCCTTTACCAGGGGAACCTGACTGCTTGCGCAATACATTACTGCAGCTGCCCTGAAATGTCTAATGATAGTAGTGATAATTGCCGTGTACTATCATGTCTTGCCCGTCTTCAACTGCGGCCGGACATGCCGTGGCTTACAAGGTAAGTAACCCGGCGCTGATCGTCTCCTTTTCCCCAAGTTGGAGATGTCACCGGGATGAGGGGCAGACAAAGACGAGATTCATCAAATCGTCATCTTTTAGAGAGAAAAACTCGTTCGCTTCGCTTAGCTCCCCTCGAGATGTGATCAGTGATCAGATCTCCCCCTAAAAACAGCGACCTAACGTTAGTACAAGGTACGGCACACTCACTGTAACTCTTGGTGCGGAATGGCATCGGAATTAATCCAATGACAATCCAGGAAGCATTAGTGTTTTTCTTTGTCTTTTATGTCCGGCCCTAAGCCGGCGCGACGCCAGCGGGAGCCTCTCAGCCTTCGCAACCGCAATTGGTTTGTTGGCCGACCCTACTCGAGTTGGTTGTCATCGATATCCTACTGTCAGCAAAGACTGAGACAGGCTGATATGTAGTTAGTTGGGTTTCCAAGTCCAAGGTCAAGAGCTAGTCTGGCCAACAGGTTGGGATGATTCATGATTGGTACCAGCTGAAGGTGAAGAAATCCAAGTTCATGGTATTGGAGTTTTTGGCTTGCAGTAGTTTGCTTGCTTCAATTGTTTGCCTCTCACAGTGATAATCATTAAAAAGACGATAGTGTACATCAAAAATGATGAAACAGGCGGGGCCATGCCCGTCAAAGCTGTGAGGCTGCTCATCTTTGACATATTTGGATCGTCTAATTGCCCTGTGGCGAACATGGCCAAATCTCTTTGCTCCATCACCTCGTCATGTTCCTGTGCCTGTCTCAAAGATTGACGATCGCTGTCCATGTCCGTTCTGTTACCGGTGCAGGGGTACGGGTGAAGATTACCGACAAAGGCCTGATTGTCCGTCGACATAAGGAGTTGGACGAAGATCACTCGTTGCCATCGGCCCAATTACGCAACGGATGAATGAATGGCACAAGCTAGCTGTAGTGGACAGTGATTAGTGGTGCCTCAATACCTGGACGCTGGAGTTTAGGCTTTGTGGCATTTGTACCCTTCCGCTCTGCTCTGGCGGTTGGTGTAAGTTTGTTGGTGAGACGTTCCCATCGAGGTGGCTCCATATCGACCACTAGGTAGTATTTGAGAGATGTTGTTGAAACACCAACAACGTACATACCGAATCATTCAGCTCTTGTTCATTTTATCTATCTCCGAAACTCTGGGTTTTTGTTTGATATTCGTTCAAGCCAACAGCGAAACAGCGCTGTGAGGTTGGTATGCAGATCAGACCTAGTTGTAAAAGTATATCTCCCGGATAGGAATATGATATGTCTCCCAAGTGGGTATAAGTGGCTTCATCAGGGACTCAGAACGGGAGAGTCAGACACTTAGATAAGGCAAACCTCCTCAGGGAGCAAGAAAACACCAGGCCCTAATAAGGTGTTAAAATAGACCCAGCAAAAGGTTTCCTTAACTTAACAAAGATATCCTAAGCTTATCCAAGTTATCTAACCCATTTTATCATTTATGATCAAGATCCTAGGTTTTCTTTCCTGTCCTAGGCACAGCCGTTTCCATGACATGAAAAGCCAATGGTTATGATATACCAGATCAGGATAGCACTCCGGGCTCGAACTTGGGCGACAGGACGGGAGGCTGTATCATGTTGAAGCCCGACCCGATGGTGTGGAGGCCAGACAAAAATACCATACAGATAGCCAAATTGAACTACTGAGAGAATTTAGAGTTCTATCACAGTAAAATTAACCTTCACGATGCAGTATTTTGTCACTTACAGACCAATTATGGAGTACATCTGATACTGGGCGCGAAAATCAATCACGTGGCTACGCGCTGTCACTCATAGTAGGCGGGGCATTTCTGCTAGGCGCTGCCATGCTAGTCGAATAGAGACAAGAACAACCACGAGGCGGGCGTTTGTGAAGCCTTCAAGAGTTCCCCGACCTCAAGGATCAACTAAGTTTTACTTGGTGATATTGAGCGTATCGCCACGAGATCTATCACGGAACTCTATATACTCTCCCCGCCTCAGACTACCGCGCGCTTCCCGCTACTGCGGATTGAATCCCGCAATCATATAACCTTTGCTTTCGGAGCACATGACGTCTGTGGTATAACTACAAACAACCTGGGATAGCTTCACAGCCTGATCATCGGACCCCTGCCCGCCATGTTAGACCTTCACGTATGGGGTTCCGCATTTGGCCTCCCGTCCATTGACCCCGAGTGCCTTGCTATCATCACATACCTGCACAGCAGCCTCCCTGTATCAGCCTGGCGCCTGATTCCAAGCAACGATCCTTCCGTCAGCCCGTGTAGTATGGCTTACCATTACCGTTGCCTCCACTGAGCCCTGTCTTGCTGACCGTTACAACCAGACACTCTACCAGCATTGTATCATGAGGGCGTATGGGTATCAGGCTTCGGTCCTATTGTCGAGTACTTGACTGACAAGTCCATCGGTGACAATCTGGATGCTGGCCTGACCGACATTCAGCAGGCTTATCGTGTTGCTTATGCTGCCTTCTTGTCTGCGCACGCTGCTCCATTGTTGGATCTTTCACTCTACGTCTCCGCTGCCAACTGGTCAGCCACAACTCGGCCCGCCTTCAGCACTCTATTATCTTTCCCATTGACATGGACAGTCCCGCCACTGCTCCGTGCCGAGGCTGTAAAACGTGTTGAGCACCTGGGCTTCGCTGATATGGATACCGACTTTGACCCCAATGGCGGCCTTCACCTCTCCTCTGGGAGAGACGCTTTACCAGAAACATTCCGAAGACACATTCCCGTGAGGACAAAGAAGACGATTCACGAAGAAATGACCCCTGAACAGGCAGTTCTTATAAGGTTATATGGAATCACAGAAGACTGTCTCACTGTGTTAGACGATTTCCTCGACGAGGGGTCCGAGGAGAAGGTGCATGGTTTCTTCAACGGTACAGAAGTCTCATCTTTGGACTGCCTAGCCTTTGGCTATCTCGCTTTGATGCGTGATGCTCCCGTACCGAGATCTTTCTTAAAAGATTGGCTCATGAAAAAGACACCTCGGTTGTCCACGTTTGTTGACGGTATGAAGACAAGATGTCTGGACAAGTCCAAACTCTTGCCGTGGTTTGAGCCTGGTAATAACACCGTATTACGCATTGGAAGCCGAACTCTTGACAGCATTCTTCACAACGTTCCTGGTCTGGGTGATGAGTATGCGACCGAAGTGCGACGACGTGCTGAAGGAGGTATTACTGGCATCGATGCCAGATCCCTTATGTTGGCACTGAGTCTCCTTGCTACAGGTGCAGCTCTTGGCTATGGCTACCACACATATAAGGCACTGCAGCCATTTGGATCACGGATACAAGTGTGGCATTCACATAAAAACTATTCGAAACTCAGTGAGTTTGGCGCGCTGGGTTCCATGTTGGGCAGTGTATTAGGAGGACCAGTGGAAGTACCTAGACCTTCTCATCCGTCAAACCAGGCTCGGTTCGTCGAGACCGATACAGACGTGGACTAGGAATGATGATGACGATGTAAAAGTATTGTACATTTATGTAATAGAAAAACCACTTCCAAATACCTCTGTTAGAGGGATAACCCCAAACGACGTTCCCTTCCCATGATCTAGATGTTGCGTACTATTCATAATATTTTCTTTTGAGGGCCTATTAGACCCACTGCCACTTTGTGACTTCACATTAGATCTCTTTGTATCATGATTTAAATCTGTCTGATCTCTTTGCCAGCCATCTCAGGTCGCTCAATTTCCCACTCGTCTCGCAACACGGCAAAAGTGAGATCTGTCACCAACAGACTCTGGCCCAAACTCCACACAAGAGTGATGGCGTAAAAGAAATTGGCGTTGCCGCTTCCTGCATAGATCCAGAGGTGGTAAAAAGCTGGCCCAAGGAATGTTGCGTACAGCAGCGTAGAGGTGGTGACAAAAGCGTACCGCATGAGGGGGAAAACATGTCGGAACAGAGGGACCACAGACAGGAAGAGGCTGGCATCTGCAAGCGAAGGGTAAGGCTTGAAGATGGAGAAAATGCCCAGTAGGATGGTCAAGACAGCCAATGGCTGGGGTCGGAGACGGATAGAGAGGGCTGCAGGATAGGCTGCAAGATGCAGCCAGAACACGCCAAGGAAGAAAGCTCTAAACGAGTCGAACATCTCAATGAAGAAATACCACCACAGTCCCACGTTAGGTGTGAGATCCGATAGGGTCAATTGGATGCCATATGTGCGAGCCAGGAACTCCCAGGAGTTGTTGGCAAGCAAAAAAGACATGCCCAATAGCGAAACCACGCACCCCAGCACAACAGCTGCGTTAGTAGCTGCGAACTTAGTGATGCAAGCAATCCGACGCTTCTCAATTTGGCAATTATAGGCAAGGAGAACAAGCGGAGGGAGGAGTAGGATAGGGTACATAGACAAATAAGATGCGAAAGAGATTGCGACCATGGCGTTGAAAGGAGATCCCTGGATAGCTTTTACTATGGCAAGGAGAACGGCGCAGTTGGTGAAGACGCCCGTTGATCGTCCTATACATGTCGCAATGGTGTATGGATTGAATAAGAAGCTGGCGCCTATTAGTCCTAATGTACGAAGCTCTGAGTCAAAATACCCCTTACCCAGCAGCAATTGCAGCACTACCAAACTTATTGGCACGGCGCGGCGATGTAAATAGCTTCGAGTTGCCCGCAACACCCGACTCGGCAATCTTGAACAGAGCGTCGGCGCTGAGGAGGTCGACGGCGATGTAGAGTAGGTGTGTGAAGATGGGCCAGCTCTTTACGTCGGGGAGCAGCGAGAATAAGGGCAACAAAAGAGGAGCCTGGTGGAAGACACCACCATCGTATGGCGAGACATTGTTCGTATATAGGAATAGACCTTCTTGTACTTGGGGGTTTGTCAGTAAGCTACGTTCGAAGCTCGCCATGCGAAGATCGGTTGAGACTTACATCGCTTGAAGCTTGTGACGGGGGTGGATATCTCGACGCGACCTGTTAGAAGATCGGGCAGGCCAGGGAAAGCAAGGAATAAGATAAGTCGGAGCAGGGCAGCGCCGGCGAACACGCTGGCTTTGCCTCGCAATGTCATTGTGTCTGACATTGCATCCCTCCAGCGAATATTGTTGGTATAGACAGCTCTGGAGGAGGTTCGCGATACAGTTGAATTGGAGGCCACTTGGCTGGTTCCATGAGCTCCCGTCCTTGCTTGGCGGCCCCTCCACCTTCGGGATGTACCTGCGACGGGAGAGGGGCCGCTGGAAGAGCCGCTGGAGCTCGATAACAGCTCCACTGTATTCGCTGGATTGGCGATGCCAGGCGCTGCAAATGCGCTTAAGGATGCTGAGCCTGCCCCCGGGCGGTGTGCGTCCCACCACCCAATGAGAAGCCTCCATCTGTGGTCTAATCCATACTAGCGCCAATCTCAGGCGGTACTGGCTGGCATAAAATTTCACGTTGGAAAAAAAAGTTGAAAGATTGTTAGGAAAAAGTGCCCCGCTGGTTTCGCAGAGAGATACAACCAACCACCAACACTACCACATCTCCAAACAACAATGCCTCGGATAAAGAAGAAGGGAAAGGCCGGCGCGGCCAAGAACTACGTTACTCGAAACCAGGCGATTCGAAAACTTCAGATCAGCCTTCCCGACTTCCGAAAGCTGTGCATCTGGAAGGGAATCTATCCTCGCGAGCCCCGAAGCAGAAAGAAGGTTTCCAAGTCTTCCACCAGCTCAACTACCTTCTACTATACCAAGGACATCCAGTATCTGCTCCACGAGCCGCTGCTCCAGAAGTTCCGCGATCAGAAGGTTCTCGAGAAGAAGATCTCTCGTGCGCTCGGTCGAGGCGATGTCACCGACGCCGCTCGCCTAGAGGGCAATGCTTCGCGACCTGAGAAGACAGGAAAGCCTCGCTATACTCTTGACCATGTCATTCGCGAGCGCTATCCCACATTTATTGATGCGATCCGAGATCTTGATGACTGCTTGTCAATGCTCTTTTTGTTCGCTAACTTGCCTTCCACCTCCTCGGTTCCTGCCAAGATGATCGCCCGTTGCGAGCGCCTGTGCCTCGAGTTCCAGCACTACCTCATTGTGTCGCAGAGCGTCACCAAGTCGTTCCTCTCTATCAAGGGTATCTACTACCAGGCAAACATTCAGGGCGAGGAGGTTCTCTGGCTGGTTCCTTACAAGTTCAACCAGCGCGTCGTTGGCGATGTCGACTTCCGTATCATGGGCACCTTTGTTGAGTTCTATATGACCCTTCTCGGCTTCGTCAACTTCCGACTGTACACCTCTCTTAGCCTCAAGTACCCCCCCAAGTTCGACCAGGCTAAGGATGAGGCTGGTGCTGAGCTCGGCGCTTTCACCCTCGAAGGCAAGACTTTGGTTGGCGCCGATGAGAAGGAACAGAAGACATTGGAGGCCGCTGAGCACAAGCCCGACCCCAAGGTTCAAGCTGCTGTCAACAAGGTTATCAAGAAGATCAAGGGCAACGATGATGATGAATCGACAGCAACGTCCGAGAACCAAGTTGAGGGCGAGGATCAGGAGGCCGGTGTAATTGATAAGTTTGAGCCTGCAGTCTCTGGTGGCGACATTCTGCCCCAGCCTTCTAACACTGGAACCAACCCCAACAGCCTCTTCTCCAACCTCACCATCTACCTGTCCCGCGAAACCCCACGACAACCCCTCGAATTCCTTCTCAAGTCCTTTGGCTGCAGACGCGTTGGCTGGGACGCTGTTCTCGGCGATGGCGCTTTCACCACCAACGAGCTTGACCCTAATATCACTCACCAGATCGTTGATCGACCTCCTATCCAGGCTTCTGCTGAGGATGAGGCTGATGACGACGACAACCAGACATCACAGAAGCTTGTTGCCAACCGACGAGTTCCAGGACGAACATACATCCAGCCTCAATGGGTTTGGGACAGTGTCAACGACGGTGAGCTGAAGGAGCCTCATCTGTATGCTCCTGGGGCTGATCTTCCTCCCCATCTGAGCCCCTTCGTGAGGAACGTCCAGGGTGCATATGATCCCACTGTTCCTCTGGAGGAACAAGAGCCCGAGGCTGAAGCCATTGAGGCCCAGAGCGATGGCGAGGATGAGGTTGATGATACTGCTGAGGGTATGGATGTGGCTGGTTCTGATGAGGGAGAGGGTGACGAGGATGACGAGTTTGGTGGCTTCTCTGCAGACGAGCAAGAAGAGGATGAGGAGGAAGAAGACGCCGAGGAACGGCAAGATGAGCTTGAGGCTGAGCTCACTGGTGGTGATGTCAAATCCAAGACAACGAACGCCAAGGCCAAGGCTAAGGAGGACGCTCGCAAGGCCCTGTCCAAGAAGGCCCGTGAGGAGGCCGAGGATCTGGAGCGTGCGAAGGGTATGCTCAGCAAGAAGAAGAGAAAGCTGTATGAGCAGATGGTGTACACAAACAACAAGAAGAGTGCTGAGGACCAGAAGCTACGGGCCAAGAGGAGAAAGTTCGAAAAGGAAAAGGCCACCAAGGGCAAGGGCAAGGCTTAGGCGTAATGTTAAGGCACTGTTTTATACCATTCCTATAGATTTTAAGTTGTACGCGATAAAAAAAGCATTTATTGAGTTGGTTATGCGCAAATCTGGGTTGAGTAAATGCTGTGTTAGTGAATGTTGTCTCTCAGGTGGATAGCCTACCTCTTACTTTGCGACACTGCACCGCTGAAAAAACTTGAACTTCTCATTCTCAACTCACGACAAACACTGGCTCAACCATCATGGCAGAATACTACCCACGGATAATGTGATTTCTGGATATTAACCTACATCTGAGTAATTCTATTTACGTATTATTGTTACCAGTCTTTCCGCCAAGATGGAAGCAAGCGCTACCGCGTGGGAGTTAGACAGCGATGAGATCGCATCTATCGCCTCTGAGGACTTGCACCAACACAGACCGAATCGCTGGACGGGCGCTAAATCGACATGGCGCACTCTGACGGAAGAGGACAGGCTGCTCTGGCAATCAATGAAGCAGATTCAAGACCAGGACCTCGCGGTGCATTTATACAATGCCTTTGCGCTAAAGCGACGAGGCCGAAATCCAGAAACAGCCCAGGATTTAGTCGTCAAAACAGTGAGTCAATCTCATTCTTTATGCCACAAGTAGTATGCACTGACGATGGAACTTAGGAATCGGGTGAAGAAGGCGTTTGGGCACCGCCCAAGGCATGGACTGCATGGCCGCTCAAGCATAAACATGTGCCCAAGGAGCGCTTCACCAACGAACAGCACGACGAAGATGACCATTTTACATTCCGCAAAAATGAAGAGATATTCCCCAGCACTGAGCTTGAAGAAGAAATATCTGCCACTATCTTGAGAACTGCCAAGCGTCGGTTCCGCCGAAGAAAGAGCAACATGGCCAAACCGTCCATCGAAGATGATACCACGCCTTTATATCACGAGAGCGGCAACAGCACGCCTAATCCTTTGTCACGCGAGTCTTCTGCTAATCCCGAAACTGATGG